CTCCGCCCCCTCCCGCACCCCCCGCCCCGGGCCAGGCCTTGGAGGGAAGGAAGGGTTCTCAGGGAGGAAGAAATCTCTAAGGCAATAGTTTCCTAATTTTAGGGGGGCTGGGATCCGGGACCTTAGGAGAAACTTGGGAAAGTCCAGCCCCTGTGTCCAGACCCAACGTCCCCAAACACAGAAGTCCAGGGGCCTTCAGACATGACATGGGATGCCTGCTCCAGGTCCCTTGGCTCTAAACCGCCCCGAGGTCACACCTGGAGGCGGTCCCGAAGGCGGTGGCCAGCGGTGTCATGATGCCCCACAGGAAGCGGTAGGGGTTCTTCCGAGTGAAGAGGAAGTAGATGAGGGGCAGCACCAGGAGCCCGTGGATGGCGTGGCCCAGCAGGCAGCACAGGATGTATTTGCCGAGTTTGGCGAAGAGCTTCCCCACGTCGCCCCCCTCCGCGATCTTGCTGGCCACCAGGAACAAGATGCCCACGGGGGCATACCTAACACCCAGGAGACAGAGGGCAGCCTCTGAGCACGTGCCCACTCAGGGCCTGGCACTGGGCCCCACACACAGCCTGACCACCGGCCCCCTCGGAGTCAGGAGGCGCCCGAAGCAGTGTGTGTGGGAACCCGGCACCTCCCCTGCCCTCCTTGTGCCCTCTCCCCTTGGAGATAGCGTGGCCAGGAGATCAAAGGAGCCTGGGTGCCCTGACCAGTTTGGCTCAGTGGCTAGAGCGTCGGCCTGCGGACTGAAGAGTCCCAGGTTTGATTCCGGTCAAGGGCATGTACCTTGGTTTCGGGCACATCCCCAGTAAGGGGTGTGCAGGAGGCAGCTGATCCATGTTTCTCTCTCATGGATGTTTCTAACTCTCTAGCCCTCTCCCTTCCTCTCTGTAAAAAATCAATAAAATATATATATATTTTTTAAAAGGAGCCTGGGTGCTTCCCTCGCCACTTGGAGTAGCGTCACCAACCAGATCTGGACTCAACACATGACCGAGAGAGAAGCACGCACCATGAGTGAGTCATTTACGATTCCCGGGTTCCTTCGTTTCAGCAGCTGGTATGACTTACACCAATATGATCTCTCACCACATCGTGAAAAAGGAGAAGACCATGGCTCACGTCTTAACGACAGCTCCAAGGCATGAGGCCTGTATGATGTGCTGAGCCCCCCGAGAGTGACAGAACCTTCCCCACCAGGGAGCTCCTTTCTCGAGTCTCTTACAGCTACCACTGAATTAACAACATTTGATAGGTCCCCGTAACGCAGGAACAGTAATGCTCCCAACCTCATAAGAATGCTGAGAGGACGAAAGGAGATGCCAGTGGAAATGAGCTGAGTGCTTTTTAATAATTCATCTATAAACTTCAGCACCCTCTCCTGGAGGGAAGATCCCGGGGTGTTTATGCCTCCCGGCCAGGAGGCCCCCAGGATTGCCTTGTCCGGGACGGCTTGATCGCTATTACCAGGTGTCTCCCAAACCCTTTTCCTCTTTAGTAAGAGAGGAAAGGCACCATTTCCCAGCAACCTGTGCCCCTGGGTTTGGCCAAATGCCCATGTTCTGGCCAGTGAGCGGTGCCAAGAAATTATACAAGTCAAGTACTGGATACATATTAGCTAACATTGTTTTCTGCCAGCCTGCTATAAGTCAGGCACTGTCCCAGGCACTTTACACGTATTAACTTTGTGTGTGTGTGCGTGTGTGTGTATTAACTTTTTTGTGCCTGGTCCGTTCAGCCCCATTTGCCAGGTAGGGAAACTGAGGTACAGAGGGTGAAGTAACTGGTTGTCGGGCACAGCTAAGAAGTGGCCATGTCGCCTAACTGGTGTGGCTCAGTGGATAGAGCGTCGGCCTGCGGACTGAAGGGTCCCAGGTTCGATTCCGGTCAAGGGCATGTACCTTGGTTGTGGGCACGTCCCTGGTGGGGAGTGTGCAGGAGGCAGCTGATCGATGTTTCTCTCTCATTGATGTTTCTGACTCTCTATCCCTCTTCCTTCCTCTCTGTAAAAAATCAATAAAATATATATTTAAAAATAAATCAATAAATAATAATAAAAAAAAAGAGGTGGCCATGCTGATAATGGGAACCAGGCCACCCAGCTCTGACCCACAACACATCACCGCCTCTCCAGCAAAGTGCTCTTACTAGTCAAGCTGCACTTGATTCCCGCACAGCAGCTTCTTAGATGCCGGCTGCACTGCAATCAGGTGGGCGGGGGTATAGGGCTTGTTAAAAACGCAGCAGCTTGCCCTGGCCAGTTTGGCTCAGTGGATAGAGTGTCAGCCTGCATACTGAAGGGTCCCAGGTTCAATTCCGGTCAAGGGCACATGCCCGGGTTGTGGGCTCAATCCCTAGTAGGGGACATGCAGGAAGCAGCCAGTCAATGATTCTCTCTCATTTATGTTTCTGTCTCTCTCTCCCTCTTCCTTCCTCTCTGAAATCAATAAAAACATATATATTAAAAAAAAAAAAAGCAGCCCGAACCAGTTTGGCTCAGTGGATAGAGCGTTGGCCTGCTGCGGACTGGGTCCCAGGTTCGATTCCAGTCAAGGCCATGTACCTTGGTTGCGGGCACATCCCCAGTAGGGGTGTGCAGGAGGCAGCTGATCGATGTTTCTCTCTCATCGATGTTTCTAACTCTGTATCCCTCTCCACTCCTCTCTGTAAAAAATCAATGAAATATGTTTTAAAAAAGCAGCAACTTTTCTGGCTCGAGTGTCTCAGTGGTTGAGCATCAAACTATGAACCAGGAGGTCATGGTTCGATTCCCGGTCAGGGCACAGGCCTGGGTTTCGGGCATGATCCCCAGTCTGGGGTGTGCAGGAGGCAGTCGATCAATGATTCTCTCTCATCATTGATGTTTCTAACTCTCTCCCTCTCCCTCCCTCTCTGAAATCAATAATAATATATATTTTTTAAATTCAGCAACCCTGGCCCCTCTCCCAATTTGACCTTTAGATCCAGGGCGGGGCCTGAGAATCAGTGTGAGGCTGGGGAGGGGACAAGTAGGGAAGCCAGAGGCCTGTGGACATGTTTTTTTCTCTCATTAACTAAGGTCATTTAACAAAACCCATAATGTAAGAGTTGTAGTTATAGCCAGAACCGGTTTGGCTCAGTGGATAGAGCGTTGGCCTGCGGACTCAAGGGTCCCGGGTTCGATTCCAGTCAAGGGCATGTACCTTGGTTGCGGGCACATCCCCAGTGGGGGGCGTGCAGGAGGCAGCTGATCGATGTTTCTGGCTCTCTATCCCTCTCCCTTCCTCTCTGTGAAAAATCAATAAAATATATTAAAAAAAAAAAAAAAAGAGTTGTAGTTATAGTAAGTGAATGCTCAGTAGGGCCAGGCACTTAAAACACTTTCTAAGTGCTTTCTTGACCTATACCCAGTCACTTGTTTCATCTTTGTGATAACCCTATAAAGCCAGTACTATTTTATGTTATTTTATTTTATTATTCCTCACCCAAGGATATTTCTCCATTGATTTTTAGAGAGAGTGGAAGAGAGAGGGAAAGACAGAGAGAAATATCGATGTGAGAGAAACACATCTATTGGTTGCCTCCCGCCCGCACCCCAACCAGGGCCAGGGAGGAGCCTGCAACCCAGATATGTGCCCTTGACTACAAGGGAACCAGGGACCCTTCAGTCTGCAGGACGACGTTCTATCCACGGAAGCCAAACTGGCTAGGGCAGTGGGTGCAATTTTAGATCATTGATCCAAAAGCAAATATTTGATTACCTTTAAATCTAAAACTGAGATGTGTTCGCCAGGCTGTGGCTATAGCTTGGCTGTGTTTTTGTCACCTTCCAGTAAGATCAAGGTGCTAGTATCAGTCTAAGCCAGTGATGGCGAACCTATGACACGCGTGTCAGAGGTGACACGCGAACTCATTTTTTTGGTTGATTTTTCTTTGTTAAATGGCATTCAAATATATAAAATAAATATCAAAAATAGAAGTCTTTGTTTTACTATGGTTGCAAAGATCAAAAAATTTCTATATGTGACACGGCACCAGAGTTAAGTTAGGGTTTTTCAAAATGCTGACACGCCGAGCTCAAAAGGTTCGCCATCACTGGTCTAAGCTTTCATGGAATACAGCACGGTCCTTATTTTATAATGAGGAAACTGAGGCACAGAGAGGGTAAGTCACTTGCCCAATGTCACACAGCCCTGGGATGGTCAATGCTGGAGTTGAATCCAGGCCTTCTGGCTCTAAGAAGTGCACAGGTCACCCCATCCTACACCCCAAGCCCCCTCTCCCACCACCTACCACATGATCCAGGAGACCAGCACCATGGTGGCGTCGTTGAAGGAGTTGAAGAAGCGGATGAGTAGCTCCCCGTCAGGCCCCAGCTTCCGCAGGCACACGCCAAAGGCGATGGCAAACACCACCAGGCCCAGGATGTTCATACCCTCCACCTCACCCTCCGCCTTTGGGCAAGGAACAGATGGAGATGGGAGGGGGATGCTCAGTTAACTTGCAAACTCATTGAGGGCCTGTCCTGGGCAGGACTGGGACCCATCAACTCAGGTCCCTTCCTACCAAGGCTCAGGGTCCAGGTCCAGGGGAAATAGACCTACGACCGTGAATCACCCAGAGTGGGCAGGGTTGAAATCGGAGAACCCTGGGGAGTGTGGGAACTGAGGGGGTAGGGGTTTTTGCCAGCTCAGGGGTGTGGGTAATCAGGTAGGGCTTCCTGGAGGAAGGGGCTGAGACCTGGAGGACAGCAAGGGTGAACCAGGTAAAGAAGGGGTGGCAGAAAGTTCTAGACCAGTGGTTCTCAACCTTCCTAGCCTCGACCCTTTAATACAGTTCCTCATGTTGTGGTGACCCCCAACCATAAAATTATTTTCGTTGCTACTTCATAACTGTAATTTTGCTACTGTGATGAATCGTCATGTAAATATCTGATATGCAGGATGTCTTTTCATTGTTACAAATTGAACATAATGAAAGCATAGTGATTAATCACAAAAACAATATGTAATTATATATGTGTTTTCTGATGGTCTTAGGCGACTTCTGTGGAAGGGTCGTTCAGACCCCCAAAGGGGTCGCGACCCACAGGTTGAGAACCGCTGTTCTAGAGAGAGGAAATAATTTGCAACAGCGTAGAAATGAGAGCAACTTGGGCGTTCAAAAAGCAGAAAGAAACCCACTGTGTCTGGAGTGGAATGAGTCGGGCAGAATCACAAGATGAGACTGGGAGGGCGACGGGGCAGGGGTCTGACCTCAGAGTGTCCTGTGATCTGTGGCCAGGAGCCCGGGCTTTCTTCTGAGGGCACCCGGGAGTGTGACGGGGCTTTGAGCAGGGGGGAGGCAGGGACCGGTTTGAACTTTGAAAAGACCACTTCGGCTGCCAGGCCCGGGGCAGATCTGGGAGGAGGCCAGGAAGGGGGTTGGGTGGGGGGGTGGGGGGTGGAACAAGAGCCTGGACCACAGTGGGTAGTGGGGGAGAAGAGGGGGTCAACATGGAGACTCCAGAAAGGCAGAGGGACAGACATTGCAGAAAGGCTGCACAGAGTTTAAAACCAAATTACACACCAAAGGCTAGACGACCAGGGGGTAAACAGAGGCTAGGGCCCCCCACCCTTCTCCTGCTCTCACCTTCACATAGGTTCCGTTTTCCTTTGTGTAGTAGGTAGAGTACTGCAAGGGGATTGGGAAGAGTCAGTGTCACAGTCCTCCAGGGCCCCCCCCCCCCCCACTGGCTCCTACAACGCTCAAAGCCTGCCCAGACGTCCCTTCACACATCATCTCATTCCCTCCCACCAGCAGCCCCACTGTGATAAGACTGCTCATGCCCCTTTCCTGGTTTCAAGGTTCAGAGAAGTAAAGGCACTTGCCCAGCATCACACAGCTAGAATTAGAACCCCGCGGGCGCTGGGAGTCCGTATCCTCATTTGTGGGTGAGGGGCGTAGCTGGCTTTCAAAGGTCACCCCAGAACCCTGAAATAGTGCCTGTAAATATGTGGGCCGGTACCGCCCACACAAGCACCGAGGGGCTGCGACTGGCTG